TTTTTAGTATGCTGTCTAGATTTGCCATAGCTTTCCTCCCCAGGAGCAAGCGTCCTTTAATTTCTTGGCTGCAGTCCCTGTCTGTGGTGATCTTGGAGCCCAGGAAAATAACATCTGTCACTACCTCCATTTCTTCCCCATCTATCTGCCAGGAAGTGAGAGGACCGGATGCCATGATCTTAGTTTTCTTAATGTTGAGTTTCAAGCCATCTTTTGCTTTCTCCTCTTTTACCTGCATCAGGAGGCTCTTTAGTTCCTCTTCACTTTCTGCAATTAGAGTGGTATCATCTGCATATCTGAGGTTGATATTTCTCCCAGCAATCTTAATTCCAACTGGTGATTCATCTAGCCCTGCCTTTCTCATGATGTGCTCTGCATATAAGTTAAGTAGGCAGGGCGACAGTATACAGTCTTGCCGAACTCCTTTCTCAGTTTTGAACCAATCAGTGGTTCCGTGTCCTGTTCTCACTGTTGCTTCTTGACCCATATATAGGTTTCTCAAGAGACAAATAAGATGGTCTGGTACTCCCATCTCTTTAAGAACTTGCCACAATTTGTTGTGATCCACACAATCAAAGGCTTTAGCATAGTCAATGAAGCAGATGTTTTTCTGGAACTCCCTAGCTTTCTCCATGATCCAGCATATGTTGGCAATGTGATCTCTAGTTCCTCTCCCTCTTCGAAATCCTGCCTGTACTTCTGGTAGTTCTCGGTCCACATACTGCTGGAGCCTAGCTTGTAGGATTTTGAGCATAACTCTACTAGCATGTGAAATGAGTGCAATGGTGCGTTAGTTTGAACATTCTTTGGCATTGCCCTTCTTTGGGATCGGAATTTAAACTGACCTTTTCTGTCGGGATCCGGCTCGACAATCGGTGCAAGAGAGTTCAGAGAAAGAAATAAGACACTGCAGACAAAGAATAAGTTTTAAAGCATGCTTGGTTGGTTGTTTGAGAGAACAAAGAAGATCTTCGCAGAAAATTCTACTGCGTCAACACAAGCAGCCCTTTTTATTATTTCACAGATTGATACATTTATACTTGCGTAATCCAATAGCCATCGAGTAAAGCAGTGAACACCCTAGTTGATTGTGCGCAAGCGCAGGATTCACAAAGGCTTATTGATTGCTTATGCGCAGGCGCGGGTAACAGGAAGCGTACTTATTGCTATATATGGTCACAAGCCTTATATGGTTACACAGGTGAAGTACAATGCTATTAGCTGAGTAAGTTGCAATACTATTGGCTGGTAAATTACAATACTATTGGCTGAGCGTAGCGTGCCTAGCTACAGCATGAATGCTGCGAGGCAGGGATGAATTCCCACATTTTTCCAATCCTGTGGCCACTGTTTTCCAAATTTGCTGGCATATTGAGTGTAGCACTTTTACTGCATCGTCTTTTAGGATTTTGAATAGCTCAGCTGGAATACTGTCGCCTCCACTAGCTTTGTTGTTGCTCAGACGTCCTAAGGCCCATTTGACTTCACATTCCAGGATGTCTGGCTCAAGGTCAGTGACCACCCCATCATGGTTATCATGGATGTTAAGCTCTTTCTTGTATAGTTCTTCTGTGTAATCTTGCCACCTCTTCTTAATCTCTTCAGCCTCTGTTAGGTCCCTGCCATTTTGGTCCTTTATCATGCCCATCTTTGCATGAAATGTTCTCTTCATATCTCCAATTTTCTTGAAGAGATCTCTGGCCCTCCCTATTCTTTTGTTTTCTTCTATTTCTTTGCACTGTTCATTTAAGAAGGAATTCTTATCTCTTCTAGCTATTCTCTGGAATTCTGCATTCAATTGGGTGTATCTTTCTCTTTCTCCCTTGCCTTTCGCTTCCCTTCTTTCCTCAGCTATTTGTAAAGCTTCCTCAGACAGCCATTTTGCTTTCTTGCATTTCTTTTTCTTTGGGATGGTTTTAGTTGCTACCTCTTGTACAATGTTGCGAACCTCCGTTCATAGTTCTTCAGGCACTCTGTCTATCAGATCTAATTCCTTAAATTTATTTGTCACCTCTACTGTATATTCATCAGGGATATGATTTAGGTCATACCTGAGTGGCTTAGTGCTTTTCCCTACTTTCTTCAATGTAAGCCTAAATTTTGCAACAAGAAGCTCAAGAGCTGAGCCACAGTCAGCTCCTGGTCTAGTTTTTACTGACTGTATAGAGCTTCTCCATCTTTGGCTGCAGAGCACATAGTCAATCTGATTTCTGTGTTGACCATCTGGTGATGTCCATGTGTAGAGACCTCTCTTGGGTTGTTGGAAAAGAGTGTTGGCTATGACCAGCATGTTCTCTTGACAAAATTCTACCAGCCTTTGCCCTGCTTCATTTTGTACTCCAAGGCCAAACTTGCCTGTTATTCCGGTTATCTTTTGGCTTCCTACTTTAGCATTCCAATCCCCCATGATGATAAGGACATCATTTTTTGGAGTTAATTCTAGAAGGTGTTGTAGGCCTTCATAGAACCGGTCAACTTCAGCCTCTTCAGCACCAGTGGTTGGGGCATAGACTTGGACTATTGTGATGTTGAATGGTTTTCCTTGGATTCGAACTGAGATCATTCTGTCTTTTGGAGATTGTATCCCAGTACTACTTTTCCTACTCTTTTATTGACTATGAAGGCTACTCCATTTCTTCTGAGGGATTCTTGCCCGCAGTAGTATACCTGATGGTCTTCTGAATTAAATTCATCCATTCCTGTCCATTTTAGTTCACTGATTCCTAAGATTTCGATGTTCAGTCTTGTCATCTCTTGTTTGACCACATCCAGCTTGCCTTGATTCATGGATCTCACATTCCAGGTTCCTATGGAGTATAGATATTTGCAGCATCGGACTCTCCTTTCACCACCAGATACATCTGCAACTAAGTGTCCTTTTGGCTTTGACCCAGTCGCTTCATTCTTTCTGGCGCTACTAGTACTAGCCCTCCACTCTTCCCCAGTGGCGCATTGGACACCTTCTGACCTGAGGGGCTCATCTTCCGGCGTCATATCTTTTTGCCTTTTGGTAACGTCCATGGGGTTTTCATGGCAAAGATACTGGAGTGGGTTGTCATTTCCTTCTCCAGTGGATCACGTTTTGTCAGAGCTCTCTGCTATGACCTGTCCATCTTGGGTGCCCCTGCATGGCAGAGCTCATAGCTTCATTGAGCTACGCAAGCCCCTTTGCCACAACAAGGCAGTGATCCATGAAGGAAAAGGCCTGAATACAGATGGCCATATAAACATGGGACACATGTTGGAAGCAGAGCAAGTAGCTGAAATGAATCAAAATGATCCAACAGGGTGTGGGGGGGAAGAAATAAGATTTGCTACAGAACAGACTTCCCCAACCTGGTGTTCTGCTAGCATCCCTGGTCATTGGCCATACTGGCTAGGGCTGAAGCTGAACTCCAAAGCATTTTGGCTGCCAGAAATGCTTTCTCCCCCTGCCCCATGCCATGTGAGGAGGATCCGATGTAGACATACCTACTTGCTGGTAAAGAATGGACTCCATGAAGGCGAAGTACTGAGCAGTTTGCAGAGAAAGGGGCTTCCCTTGCCATTCTTGATGTGTAGCATAAGGATGGCAACTCTTAACTTCCTGAGTTTAGAATTAAGCATCTACATGTCACAAGGCATCTTAAAAGTCCTGACAAAGAGTGTTTGCAAGGTTCTGGACAGAAGATGTTCCTGCCTGCCCCCCCCCCCCTCCGGTGATATACCTTATTTTCTCTGTTTAACAGCAGCTGGAACCATCTGCCTCCACCATAAATTCACAATCTCTGAAATTGTTTTCAATGGGTCTGCTAGTAGTTACTTACTTTTTAATGTTACCTGCTGTGCCAGTAAAGCCAACTCAATCTGCACTGTGTGTTGTGCCCATACATGGTACAGGGATTGGGAGAATAGTGCTACGTAACAAGTTAGGTAGATAACTTGTTGGCGTGATTCATCTGAGCTGGCAAAACCCAGAGCAGGAATGGCCACAATGGCCATGTGAGTTGGACCATCACTGCCGACTAACTACAGTCTGGAGAATTCTGGAGCCTAAAAGCAAGATGGCTTTAAACCTTTCTTTTCAATGCTGTGCTACCACCATAGGAGCTGCCGTTTCCTATACTATCTGAAACAACTGTTTTCAGTATAATTAATTTTTAAAACAGCCAATAATTGCATTAAGAAGAAATTCTACATAATTTCAGATCAAAGATTTCAGCTTCTGAAGCTAAGCAGAAGTATAGCCTCTACCATTTATCTTCTCTCAGTTATTGCTTTCTAGTGCACATGGTATCGCATACTCTGGAGTTTAAGTGCCCAAGTAACTACAGATGAGACTTGCTGCTTCTTAGAATCTTTTTAGATTAAAAATTGATGGTCAGAAAGGGGCTGTAACATTGGTAATATGCCATCGATATCCTTAAAGGTATAAAAGATAAATGTGAACAAAGCCAAAATGATCTCTGGCGCAGTCTAATGTTTTTAAGTATACCCATGGCATGACTGAGCACAAATCAAAGTAACTAGTTGATGTTTTTTAATTGGGTCTGACAGAATCATTAAACACCAGCTGTTTCTTTCTTTTTAAAAAAAACAACAAGGTAGCAAACAACTGAAGACTTCTACGTCAGGTGAAGGGTTTTTTTTTAAAGACAGCCATCTGCCTGCCCTTCCATTAAACACAGTAGTAATAGAAAATAAATTGCAAAATTGTTTGATGGAAGAAAAGATGCACTAAAAACAAACAACAAATTCACTGATGACTGTTCCCTAGAACGGTTTCCCGTAGATGGTTAACACAAAGCACAAAATGCTGTGTTATGGGGTCTTCTTCCTTCCGTTATAGACAGCCAGGATTTGGAGAACACAAGAAAGGGGTGCAGCAGGGGCCTTTATGAGATCATGATGCAGCACACTAAATCTGCACGGCACCAGCCCAGGGACAGCTTCCCCTAGGAGCAGTGGCAGGTTGTCATCCTCTGAGGCAGAGGGACAGCACAAAATACTTGCAGTGAGAAGAGGCACTGGCTAACAAGCTCACTCTGCTCATTTCTTACAGTCCAGTATTGTAAAACTAGCAGCCATTTTCAATGACTATTTTATATGTTTAAATATGATTTAATGGATGACAACCCCCCTAGAAATGGAAAAGTAATTAGTTGCGAGGTCTGGACACACACCATTTACTTTTGGGGGAATTAGTTTCCATACCCTTTGGCTGATCTTGCCTGACTAAGCAATGAATGCTCCATTTTTTGCTGTATTTTTTCAACCTTTTTTCCCAACCAAGCTTTAAAGATTTGCAAAGACATGAAGTTGAGCTTTGTATGACATGAATGAAGTGGGCGGAGATGAAACCCCTGAAAAGCAAAGATGCGATTTGAAAAACCATTGGAGATCAGTGTTACAGAGAGAAACAAGCAGCTGACAATTCAACATAATCTCCCATTAAATAACAGCTCATTTATACATATCCCATTGTGCCCTTCACATCTGGCAAGTGATTGGAGTTGGCAGATTTATTTCAAGTGCTAAACTCACCTGCCCTGCTGTAGCTTCCCTCTGCTATGATGGGAATCTACTACTTTGCTTTCATAAACCTGGTGCGCTTTGCAAAGATAAGGCCATCCAAGATTATTATTTTTGGTGGTTACTACCTAATTATTAGATGTTTCTTGTCTTAACAATTGGGAAGTTTATCACAGGCATTTTGTATCGCCTCCTTTCATTTCTACCACCATAAATTTAAAATGGTTAAAGTAAATCTATCTGCAGAGTGTCATTGAGACCATAAGTCCTTTGTTGGGGAGTGATAAAATTGGTCAGCCCGGTCTGATTCTGCCAGGTCTCAAGAGCTACCTATTAGGCAAACACAGTGCTTTTTTTGTAAGAAAAAAGGTGCCGGAACTCATGAAATTATTTATCTTTCGCATGTAGTCAATCACTGTACACACACCCACACACATCAGTTGTGTAATGAAACATAATGGTCGCTGCCTGCAGTAAGCACTCAGCGCGCGACCACACGTCCAATCACAAGCCAAGCAGCGCCATCGCAACCAGTGCGGACAAAGCACGCATGCATCGGACTCGACACACAAGCAGCCCGCATGCACCGTTTTAATGATTTTGCCACCGACCTGCTACGCTCGACAGGGAGATTCAAATCCACATGGACCAAACATCAAATTTTCAAAAGTTACTTTTAAAACTTCGAAAATCCGTTGAAAAAAGATGCCAGAACTCCGTTCCGGTGCGTTCTATGACAAAAAAGCACTGGGCAAATATGATTTTAAAAAGCAAGCTTAGGCCTCTGACACATTGGTGGGTGGTGATGGGGTGCAGAAACAGTTCACTCCCCAGACCCCTACACTGCTTAGCCTTTCCACAACAGAAGAGAGCTTTGTGGAGTCTGCTAGGTTTTCTTTCAGCTGGCAGAGGGAGGGGCATGGAATAAGCTGGGATCGCTGAAGGACAGCGGTCGCCACTTTGCTGCAGCTACACCTTTTCAACCAGCAGCTCTGATTTGGGCATGGGGAGGCTATAGTTGTATCTTACTGCTGCTTTATATTAAATATTCTACTATTGTATTAAGTATTTCTGTTTTGATTGCAGCATAATTTTTGTAATTAGTATTGTGTTATTTCTGCTATGGGCTTTGGGGCAGCATATAAAAGTTGCAATAATAATAATATCAATATGCACTTGAACAGCAAAAGCACTGAAGTTCTTGTGCTAGTTTCAATTCATTCAGTCCTGTTTTCCTACAAATATGGCTGAAGGTCCTCTTTTTTCAAATGCACTCCACTAGCAACTAAAAAGAAATGCTGGATGATATTAATTGACAGTATTACCAAAGAGGCTAGCTTTCCAATGTAAATTCATCAGGTACACCACTTCACTTCTCAAAACAATACCACTAATGTTTGCATTCAATTTCTTAATTTCTCATTAAAACAACACAAAAACAAAATCGGATTTAATCTAAAAGTCTTTAACTACATTGTTTCTCCAGTTAGAATAGCTGTCTTGGAATGGCATTGAAGTTGTTGAATGACAAATCAATAAAGGTCATGCCATTCCAATTTAATCAATTATTATTCCATCTCCTGGCAAATGTAATGGCACAAACCACAATAAAAACCTGCCTCCATACTCAGATTGACCCAAAAGGTGGGCTTTACAGTATTATAAGAGATGTATGTCTATGTGGCATCAATTCTTAATGTTGTATAATTCATTAATTTAGCATTCACTTACATATCCTATTCTTTCACCAAGGGGCTCAAGCTGGTGGACATGGGCCAGGATTCAAACAGCCTGAGACCAAGCAGAAAGGATTCCTTCCCATGCTGTACCACAGGCTGCTTTTTAACTCCAGTGCACATACAAAACGTGTCACAGGATATTATGGAGACCAGCTTGGTTCTTCTAGGATGCCTTTGATCTGAACAGCTGTTTGAGAGACACCCAGATCTGAAAATCAATGGCTGGACCAAGGCTACCGAGTGTACTTTATGGCTTAGTAGGGACTTGCCCTGAGATCTCCAGGGATCACATTAAGCACGCTATCTTCCCATCTATTGATTTAAATTTCAAGAATACCCTCCCTTCTTCCTTACTGTCACAAATTCATCCTCATCCTCCTGTGAAAAGACCACTTCAACTCTAGTGGTTGCTTTGCATTTCTCTTCCAGAGCTTTAGAAAAGAAGAATTAAACACTAAAACTGAAAATGCTTCGGATGTTCTAGCATGGATACCTGTGGATGGATGCAGCTTCCCTGAAATCACTGAAAAAATGCTTAAGAACTTTAAAAATAGTTCACCCATTCTGAATCCAAACTAACCTGTGTGATTCAGAAGAAACCATCACGATTCTTGCAGGCGCTGAGCGACGAAGAACACCTTCGAGGAGTTTAATGAGATAGAAGTGCCCCAGATGGTTCACTTGAAAGGTGGACTCCAGACCATCCTCAGTCAGTTGCCAAGGAGCACCCAAAATAGCAGCATTGCAGATCAGCACATGGAGAGACCTTTAAAAAAAAAGTAATCCTCAACACTGAGCTACAAGCAGTGTGAACATGATATAATTATGTAGAGTCCTGACCAGGTAGTTGAGTGGAAGGCATGTGTTGTGAAACGCATCTGGTGGCTTGCTAGAAACCACTCCTACAGCAGTTCTGTCACAACACACGCTTTCAGATGGCCCACACTTTCATTCCCAGGATGTATTTAATTTATTTTAACGATGCTCAGTGTGGAATAATTAATTTATCTTATTTAATTGACATTCTGCAATAATGTCGTAAGCCGTCCAGAGACGACAGTAATGGATGGCATACAATTTTTTTAAATAAATAAAATAAAATACATGAAGAGGCCAAGATACATAAAATGACAACAGCTAAAGCAAGGGTGTAGAACCTAAGACATGAGGTGCAAACGGCCTTCCCTTGGTCTCCAGAAGGTCACCCTGCTTTGCCCTGGCCTCGCTCCCTTTCCTCTCGCCACCATTCAGTGGGCGCAGACTCTCGCCATTCTCACCCACAACAGACGCATGCGTGCGAAGGCACTTCCGTTCATACTGGCAAAGTAGCAGCAATGCAGCATTTCCACCTTCTGCGCCACAGCTTTGCCCTTCAGAAGACATAAGTCCGTTTACATTATTTCTCAGTTAGTGTTCTCGTCTGCTCATCACGATCCATCACTTGTTCCGTGGATTTACAGCTTTGTCTTTGGTCTTTTTACAAAATAAAACTCCTTCCATTAGGAAGAATCTTAAACTGTAGGTAGTATTAGTTTTAAAGGTATTGCATTTTTAAAAACCCATGTGTTCTATGCTCATTTCAAAATGTAAAATTATAAAGATTTATGATTAGCCTAAAAAGGCTCCTTAGATCGGGCTCACGGCCTTTCCTCTAAGGAGGTGAGGAGGATGGTGAACAGAATTGCGACCCACCTGTGGAACGGCCTCCCAAGAGTGGTTTGCCTGGTGTCTTCCTTACCATCTTTTTGGCACCAGGGGAAAGCAGTTTTATTCTCCAGACAATTGTATTGTTTGCGGTTTGAAAAAGTCTGTTTTCACATTTCATTGTTTTTAATTAATACTCTCAGCTGTTACATATCATTGTTACTTTCTAATATTGGTATAGGCACATTGCTTTAACTGTTTTATTGTTTAGTATTGTTGTGATGTGAACTGCTTAGAGCAGGAGTCCTCGAACTTTTTCAACGGGGGCCAGCTGAAAGGTGCCGGGGCTGGGCGTGGGTGGGGGCAGGGCGGGGTGGGGCGGGGCCCGTGTGCAGGCTGAGGGGAGGGCGGGGCACGTGGCAGTGGCCATGGCGAGGGGAGGGGAGGGTGGGGCGGGTGGGCGGGGCAAGGGGGGACGAGGCAAGGGGGGGGGGTGCAGGTGGGAGGGGCAAGGGGAGGGGAGGGGAGGGAGGGGCATGCAGGTGGGCGGGGCAAGGGGAGCGGAGGCGGGGTGCATGGGCAGGCGGGGTAAGGCAATGCGAGGGGAGGTGAGGGACGGGCACACGGGTGGGAGGGGCAAGGGGAGGGGAGGGGAGGGTGAGGCGCACGGCTGCGCGTGGCGAGGGGAAGGGGGCATGCGGGGCAGTGGCGCACTTGCTTGAGGACCATTTTTTCCAAGCAAGTCCAGAACAAGCTCTGCGCGAGCTCGGGGCGAGGCCGGGGGCGGGTGTGGGCACAGCCGCGCAGGAGTCCAAACCCTGGCATGGTGGACCCATGGGCCGTAGTTTGAGGACCCACGGCTTAGAGCATCTGGTAGGACTGTTACAGTGGTCTATATCCCAAGCAAGCAAGCAAGCAAACGAAGGCACAATGGATATATCCTTGCTCTAAAAATGCTACTTTACTACAGGAATGGGCAGCCTTCAGACTTGCAGAATATACCCGCCTGCACTAGTTTAGCAACTTTCTTAAGAAATGTTAGGGACGCTCTTTGAGTTGCAGCCATAGCACAAAGGGACTTCTAGTTGCAGGTGGGCGAAATGATGAGAGAAACATTCGAAACTACTTCCAAACCCAAAATTCGCTGAAGAACAAAGCAAAGTCTCAAGTCTGCATGTCAAAATGGTGTTGCCGGCTAATTTTCAGTTAAGTGTTCACATGCTGGGAAAAACTTGGGCAGGAAATCATCCAGGTGAAGGCATTTGTGTGGCTGTAGTCCCAAGGCAAGGGAAAGCACTTGAGTCGAATTTACTCTACAGTAAACAGTACAGAACTTGCTATTGAGCAAGTATGTATAAGATGCAGAGGAACAAACCACTCGTGGCCACCAATCAAAATTGTGTCTTGAACAACCATCATATGTTTTAGAATGGCGGAGCTTGTTTCCACCAGGCAGTGCTGCATAATGCTAATTATCTCACTGTGCAGTAACAGTATTCTTAAAATGCACAACCATCCACACTGCCCATATAACACCAAGACTGTACTTTATAGCTGGAGGGGTGTGTGTGGATACGGAGCATTTCATGACCTAGATTTCATCAGGTTATTAAAACCTAAAGCTATGTCATACCCCTGGGTTATGACCCTTAGAAAAATATCCTGTATCCTATAAAAGCAGCCAGCAAAGATAACATCATGAAAGGCCCAAAGGTAAATAGAAATATTAATGTGACTTTCAAAATCTGCTTGAAAGCGGGCTCCCTTCATGTTTACTTCTCCTACTGACATTGAGAAACAGTTCTTTTTTCAACCACATGCCTCCCACATTTGTCTTTTCCAATGTAGTTGTGAACAGTGTGATTAAAAACAGACCATGTGCACCCTCCTTTGTTCATGACACAATCTAGCTAATGCTGAGCACTTTTAAACCTCACTGAATTTGATTGGGGAATTAAGCATGTGCTTAAAACAATTTTAATTTAAATAAATGGTTTTAATAGTGCTCAAAATTGACTGGATCATGCTAGTTCTTATTTATTAAATTTATAGATCACTGGTCAATCACAACAGCAAATATTTCCAAGGGACTTAATTAGTGCAAGATTATTTTTAATTATGTTTTTAATTAGAAAAATAAGATTTTCCATTCCACAACTAGCTAGAAAATAGCCATAAATCTGTTTGCAGTAAATTTAGATGGATTTACTTTCATGTAGTCTTCCATTGCACATACTTATTTCCCTAGATTATACAACAGAGCCTTTTTCCTCCTTGCTAAATTAAATCTAGGAGAGAAATTTTATAGTATTCTGGTGTTCCAGTTCTCTTAAACATTTTAATCTGATATCAGTTATACCATTTTGGTAAAACCATAACAGCTATACGAACAAATCTGTTGACATGAAAAAAGTCTAAGAAAATAATGTCAGCCCCATATGACCTCCAAGATCAATAAAGAAAACCTCCATGCACATTATCTCGATCAAACTGGTCAGTCCTAGAGGAGATCAACTCTGGCTGCTCTTTAGAAGGCCAGATCCTGAAGATGAAACTCAAATACTTTGGCCACCTAATGAGAAGGAAGGACTCCCTGGGGAAGAGCCTAATGCTCGGAACAATAAATGGCAAGAGAAGAAGGGGACTGCAGAGGATGAGGTGGCTGGATGGAGTCACTGAAGCAGTTGGTGCGAGCTTGAGTGGACTCTGGGGGATGGTGGGGGACAGGAAGGCCTGGAGGAATGTTGTCCATGGAGTCACAATGGGTCTGACACAACTTTGTGACTAGCAACATCTGTATCATCTGGATTCAAGGGCGGCTGTTGAATTACGAAGTTACATATTACTGGAAACTGAACAAAGGATTTCTAGAATCGTGACCTAATTCTTAGCATCACCATAAATAATACAACCCATGTCATATAAGAATTACCATTCTCCTGCAGTCCCATTCACAATGCACCTTTGTGTCCAAGCCTCTGCACCCCACAGTTTCCCAGTGTCATTTGAGCCATTACGAAAATTTTCCGGAGTAGCCACAGAAGTGAAAGTTGCAGGAAACAGAGGTCCTCCCAGCAAATGATGGACACCATTCCCCTCCCCACCCACTCACCCAGAATTTCCACAGAAATCTCTGAGATGTCATGTCATTGTGCTGGGTTTACTGGAGAAAAGGGATTTATCTCCCAAGTAACAGTACCTCCGTGAAAGAGACAGTTATATGAAAGAAGAAAGAGAAGATGGAGAGATGTTGAAGAACTTTACCCAACCAACTCGCCCATGTTCAACATAATCTAGGCATTCTCAAAGAAGTTTTTATATCAGTCTTGGTTCCAATTAGAACTATAAAGAGACTCAAAGAATTCCCAGGTTTGCATGTTCAAAGGGAGACCAGCCATTGTTTTTTTTTTCCCAATATACTTGGCGCAACCCAAGGTCTTCCCGCTTCTGTGTATTATTCCATTTTAGGACTATCACAGCCTGCTGTCTTCATGTTTTAAATCATGCCCTGTAACGTTTGACTCTTCACCTGAATACAACATCACCTGCATGCTGACTCTACCATGTTTTGGATTTTATGCTTCAGTCCAGCCTGATTAAGAATGTTGATGAGCTTGAAAGGTTGCTCACTTCTTTGAGACTTCTCTTTTTCATTTCTTTTCTGCTGTAGTATTATCTTTTTTATATTTTTCTTTCCCAGTGGAGCAAGACAAATCCTTGTTTTCCACGTCCCATGATTTTGGTGGAAGGATGGCAAGGTTTTTTGAGAATGGGGTAAGATGTTACCTAGTTCTTGCTGTTTATTAATTTCCTTTTCCTGAAATAAAAAGCAGTTTTAGTTTTCAACATATTTTGGGGATCTGTCTTATCCTTTTGGGACCTGCCCACACTGCACAAAATAAATCCAGTTGGAGTGTGTGTGTGTTTGTGTGTGTGTAGTTTATGGATTCCAGCAAAGGGAGAGCATGACTTAATGTATGCATCTAATAAAAAGTTCACTATTAAAGCTGCGGGAAGCTGCCTAAGGGATAATACTTTTAAGAACATATGAAGAGCCCTGCTGGATGAGACCAACCGTCCACCTAGTTAAGCATTCTTTCCCACAGTGGTGAGCCAGATGTT